TTTGCTGAAGGTTTAGGGTTTAGGGTTTAGGGTTTAGGGTTTGGGGTTTAGGGGTTTAGGGGTTTAGGGTTTAGGGGTTACTCTCTGAACATCCTCTCGATTTTGGTCCGTGGATTGGGTCGCAGGTGCTCTGCCCTGCAAGAAGAAAGGATTTCCTCGGTTTGGCCTCAAGACAAAGCCAAAAAGCAAGCCAGACAGCTAGAGAGTCGCCATCCTCGCGCCATTCAAGCACAGTATATGGGTAGTTCCCTAAATTAGGGTCCGTTTTAAGTGCCTTTTTGTAAGGGTGCCGTACTAAATTGGGGACCGAAACAGGGACCCTGATTGAGAGAACTACCCATATAGAGACTGCAAGCAACAATCATCAAGTCTTCCGAACCTGCGATGGGTCCCGAAACCTGAAAGCCCCACAACTCTGCCAAAGCCCCTTTAGGGTTTCGGGTTCAGGGGTTTGGGGTTCAGGGTTCAGGGTATAGGGTTTAGGGTTTAGGGCACCACAAGCCCTAGACTCGAAGCCACGGCTGGCCTCTGGCTCGCCATGAAATACAGGGTCGTCCTGAAGCAGAATTTTTGGAGTTCAGGGGCTGGCACTTGATTGGGCTTAGGGTTTAAGGCATATGAAGCCTCGTGTTTGTGACAAGGACAGCGCTTAGGCGGCAGATTCTGAGAACTATCTTCTCCTCTCCAGCTGTGCCCTTAGTATAGTGCATAGAAATTGAGACAGCCTGGTTTTGGCTAATAATTAGCAGTGGTAGTAGCCGTCGTCGTACTAGCAGCAGCAGCAGCAGCAGCAGCGGGCTTAGGGTTTAGGGCGTAGGGTTTTGATTTCAGGGCTTATGGTTTAGGGTTTAGGGTTTAGGGCTGAGGGCACCTTGAGTAATATAGGGGCCTAAATAAGTACCCATATTATTTTGGGGGGTTCCTGATTATAAATGTAAAAAGACTATACACCACCCTACACCCTAAACCCCAAACCCTAAACCCTTTTCTAATTATTCAGGCCCCTCTGTTAACTAGCAATCGTGTCCCTTCGAGCTCCATGACAAAGGTGTGACCCCTAACCCTGCTCTCTGCTCGTTAAGGCCGAGAGGCCCCTCTCCTGCACACTTACGTAGAAGCCTTAATACTTAATAAGTAACCCAGAGGGTCCACATATACTGCCATTATGGCATTAGGTCCCCAAAACCATAATAAGGATGGTCTTTTGGGACCTAATTCCATAATGGTAGTATATGTGGACCCTCTGGGTAATAATTGGAACAGGGTTTTGGGGTATATTCTACTGTAATCATAATAGGTAGTTATTTAGGCCCCTATATTAGTCCACTTCCGACACATAGTTTCTGCTCACAAGCTTGTTGCACTGGCGGCAGGCTGAAAAAGCCTACACCTCCAAATTAGGTCACATTATGCCACGTGAATTACGAGCATGCAAGCGTCATTCGGCCATCTCCACGTCATGCTGCATCTGAAACCCCGCAGAATCCAACTACTCACGGTTTTCAGATCGGTCAGCGAGTCAGGACCCTCCTTGTGAGCTCGTGCTGCGAGGTTTCACTGGCCACTGATGAGGGTCAGCACAGCGCCTGGAAGGAAAATTGCTGCCAGCAGCTCCAGTGATGGCCTGTTTCGCCTGGGTTCGTGTTGATGGATTCACTTTAAGCTACCATAAGAATAGTGCTAATAATAACAATAATACGTATAATAATAATAACAATAAAAGCAAGGAAACCAAATTATTCAGTAAAGAACCTTCCTATGGTAACTTGAATAAAGTTCCTGAACAAGAACCCAGCCACGCCAATGCCAAAACCCTCTTTCATTCTGTCTGATGTTTCCACATTGACCATCTCCCAACCGGTGCCTCGAGTCTAAACCCTGAACCCTAAACCCTAAACCCTAAACCCTAAACCCTTTAAGTAATCCGTAACATTGGGGCATCAACGATTAGAATTATGCTAGTCACTCCTGGCTCTTTGTTGGGGCTAGATTGAAGATGATCATTTTTCATCTTTATTGGGTTTAGGGTTTAGGGTTTAGGGGTTTTATTATAACAAAAACGTAAAATTGTGGCCGACAAAGACCCAGATTCAGGCCCTACTATTACAGGAACCCAAACCAGTATTAAACAAAGGCACCTCCTTGAAAATAACAGAGCAAGACACAGACAGACAGATTGCAGATGGGTAGTTCTCTAAATTAGGTCCCCTTTTAGGGTCCTTTTTGTAAGGGTCCTAAAATGGACCCTAATTTAGAGAACTACACAGATAGATACAAGAACAGAAAGGGATGCAGACGCCAGCCGAGCATCATTGGAGGTTGTAACATTGGAACCCCACTCCTCTCTGTCCTGAACCGAGCAGGGTTTGAGTTAGCTTGGCATACCTTTGAGGGTGGCCCGAAAAAGAGGAAGAAAATACGGCTGATGATATGGGTCCTTAAAGGTAGTGCAAGTTGCTTAGTAGACAGTCCTTCTCGCTGGCGTCTCCAATGGAATTCTGGGAAGACCCCAAGCACCCGCGAAGGCAACTTGCGACGCCTCCGGAGCATTTGGATGGAAGGAGGGTTTCCGAATTTTGCGGGCGCAAAGGCTGTCAAGCTCATGGAGAGTGTCGGCGACGTGGTAATACCCAGAGGGTCCAACGACCGCCTGCTTCATGCGGAGGGACTCAGTGAGGTATTGCTCCGCCCCCTCGAGGTCGCCCCTCTTGCCACAAACTTGTCCAAGATCATGGAGGGTTTCGGCGACCTGTCCACGCGCTTCTATAGTTGTCTATAGTTTAGGGTATATAGGGGTTTAGGGTTTAGGGTTTAGCTACTTATCTGTCTCTGCTATTTAACCGTCTTTATTAATCTCCAAATTCCAATGGCCCAACCAATCCCTGCCGAGTAACATTGAGGAAGGTGACCTTGGAACTACGCCGCTCCGGATCCTAGACCGAACAGGGCTTGCATGTCGGAGCAGGCTGTTCCGTGCTCGAGGACAGATCGAAACAAACGCATGAAAAGCACAAGCTGCTACCCTAAACCCTAAACCCTAAACCTTAAACCTTAAACCCCTAAACCCTAAACCCTAAACCCTAAACCCTAAACCCTCGTCCTTATCATCAGCGTCTTCAGTGTCATCCTTTTCGTTGTGGCCACCATCTCCATAGAGAGCTCGCTTCTTTCTGAGGGACTCTGTCAGGTTCATCTGAGACGCTTCCAAATACCCTTGTTGAGCGAAGACTTTGCCGAGCGAGCCATGCACGTCGGCGACCAGGTAGCTGAAGGCTTCGCTACGACCTTTCTGGCCTATTCCCCGCATGATGCTGAGAGACTCTGTCAAACTCTTCTCTGCGGATTCGAGATTGCCCAGATCTCAGAACACTTTTCCAAGTAAAAGGAGTGTCATGCCGACTTCCTCCTCTGCAGAATCTCCATACACAGCCCGTCTCATCCCCAAGCACTCTACCAAGTTACCCTCCGCCGCTTTCACTCTGCCCATATTCCTGCGCACTGCGCCAAGCTCATAAAGAGTCTTGGCGACTTGCTCGTGGGGACCGTCTCCATGCAAAGCCTTCTTCATGCTGAGGGACTCCACGAGATTCTCCTCCGCAGCCTTCAAATCACCCTCGAATTGAAAGACTTTGCCAAGCTCATGCAGCACGGCGGCGACATCTTCGTGCGCAGTGTCCCCATGAAGGGCTTGCAGCATGCCGAGAGACTCTTTCCAAGTCTTCCCAGCAGATTTCGAGTCTCCGGACTCGTACCAAACTGATGCCAAGCACCCAAGGGTGCGGGCAATGTCCTCGTGCGCCACATCTCCGTAGAGGCTCCGCCTCATGCTCAGACATTCTTTCAAGAGATTCTCCGCCTTGGGCGACTGGCTTCTTTTCCAACAAACCATGCCCAGCCATTCAAGAGTGAAGGCGCGATCCGGACTCTCGCAGTTTCCGGGCATGCCCAGGGACTTTCTCAGGTTCGCTTCGGCAGCTCTGAGCTTGCCGAGCTGCTTATAGACTGCACCCTGCATTCGGAGGGTGTCGTTCGTTCGCCGAGCAGCAAGTTTTCCACGAAGAGCTTGCCACATGCTGAGCGCTTCCGAAAAATACTTCTGTGCAGCTAGCCAGCTACTTCTTTGCCAGAAGACTAAGCCAAGTGAGTGAAGGGTGATGGCGACATGTATGTTGGCACCACTATAGACGGATCGTTTCAGGATTAGGGCTTCTGTGAAGTGATTCTCTGCCGCTTCCATATCGCCCTTCAAGAAGTAGACTGCGCCAAGCTCTTTGAAGGCAATGGCCCTGACATATACAGAATCTTGTGATTGCTGCAAGTACTTCTCGACTGCCCTTGCGGCTGTCTGGTAGCGTTTGGAAATACGACACTGCAAGCTGAGAACCAGTGCTCTTTGAGCTTCTGCAGGTCCATGGTAAAAGAGGCTCCCGTCCCTTGCATCGCGAGCTTGCTGTACAACGCCGCCCAAACGGTTTACATTGTGTGGTAGAGCGATCTCCTGGTCCTCAAGCACGGCCTCAAGCCATTCCAGACAACCCACGTCATCATTCTGAACCGACTTGGCCACTGTCTCTGTGCGCTCTCTTGAAGTGCTCTCCTGAACATCGCCACCTCCGAGGTCGAACTGCACGCGCTTCCTGGGCTCCTGTCAATGCGCAAGACCAGAATGGTTTCGTAGATCAGATCCAGGGTCATCAGAGGTTTCTAGATTCTTTCTGTAGAGTTTAGGGTTTACGGCGTAGGGTTTGACCCAAGAAACCCCAAAACCTCTGACCCTCTAAACCCTAAGCCCTAAATCCTAAACCCTAAACCCCGGACCCTCCCCTCCCTTGTTCGCATTTCTTGTTTAGGGTATGTTTGTTGCATTGGAGCTGTGGGAGGCTTGCTGCATTAAAGGTTTAGGGGGGTTTAGGGTTTAGGGTTTAGGGTTTAAGGTTTAGGGCTTTAGGGTTTTAGGGTTTAGGGTTTAGTTTAGGGCCTGGGGGGCCGAAAGGTTGCTTTGCCCTATGCAATTGCGGAGTGGCAGGCGGCTCAACTGCTTAGGGAAAAGAACACCACGAAATCATTGCGGTCTTCGTCTGTCGTTGCCTTGGCCCCTCTGGGCTTGGACGCTTCTGTCTGCTCCATGTCTTTCTTTGCAGCACACGCCATCTGCTCCTGAGCAAAACCGTGCTTCATGTAAGCAGCAAAATGCTGAGGTCTGACCTGCACGATACCCTAAACCCTAAACCCTTAACCCTAAACCAGCGAAGTTAAGGCTGGCTGCAGCTGGGAAGCGCGCTCCTGTGGGGAGCCCTTCCTGCTTGCGAAAGTGCCATCCACCCTAAACGCTAAACATGACTGTCGACATTTTACGGAGCCAAATCCTGAAAAGCGGCACAGCAGCAACGGCATGAGTCGTGGTTCAACCTTTAGGACCTCGAAGAACTTTCATAGCCCTTGTAATTAGGGTTTAGGGCTTAGGGTAACTCTGAGCCTTTGTAGTAGTCCTTATGGTACAGTAACCCCTGTAGAAACCCTCATAGTAGCCCTTGTGGTAACTTACAGAAACCCTCGCGGTAGCCCGCCTAGTGCCCCCCTGCAAAAGAAGCCTTAAAACCTTGTAGAACCTGGAGCTTAGCGCTTGACCTTTCATCAAAGATTCGCACGGTTTAAGGCTTTGAGTTTAAGACTTAGGGTTTAGGGTCTAGGGTTTTCGGCTTAGGGTTTAGGGTCGAGGGTTTAAGGCTTAGGGTCTAGGAGGGTTTTATGGCGACCTGACTGGTGACGGCCGGTTTAGGGTGAAGGGTTTAGGGTTTTAGAACCCTAAACCCTAAACCCTCAACAGCGGAAGTGAGCGCCGCACCCCACCACGCGAAAGTTCGTGGCAAAGCTGATCTCCGGCGCCACCTTCGCATTGAAATTTGAGAGATTGGGGATTCCCAGACGACCCAAGCTCCCTTAATCAGGCTATACACCTTAGATCATGGGGGCCTGAATATTATGATTCGAGGTATATTCCTTAATTAAGGGGTATTGGGTTCTCTGGGTTAGGGTTGACCATCGTCTTGCTCGGGATTGGGGTTTAGGGTTTAGGGTTTAGGGTTTAGGGTTTAGGGTTTAGGGTTTAGGGTTCAGGGTTTAGGGTTCAGGGCAAGATCACGCTGGGGAAGAACCGCCAAAGCTCTCCCCGCAATAAACCCTGAACGCCAAAACCCCAACCTCACCCCCAGGCCCCACCAAACCCGAAACCCCAAACCCACACACTTCAAGTGATCAAGGGGACCCTAAAACCCTAAACCTCAAACCCTAAACCCTAAACCCCTAAAGCCTAAACCCCAAAAGAAGGGCTTCGTCGCGCCGCTCCATGCTGAATCGCGGAGCTTCGGGGTTTAAGGTTGAGGGTTTTGGGGTTCGGGTTTAGGGTCTAAGAGTTAAGGGTTTAGGGGTTTAGGGTTTAGGGGTTCAGGGTTTAGGGTTAAGGGTTTAGGGTTTAGGGTTTCCGTGTTTTAGAAGCTGAATGCCCCATAATCCCTGACAGCGCTTACAGACTGTGAAGACTATTCCCTGAATGATGTTAGGGTTTAGGGCTTAGGCTTTAGGGTTTACGGTTTAAGCTTTAGGGGTTAGGGGTTTAGGGCTTAGGGTCTAAGAGTTAAGGGTTGAGGAGTTTAGGCTCTAAGAGTTAAGGGTTTTGGTGTTCGGGTTTAGGGTCTAAGTGTT